CATTCGAGAGCCTCTTCTCGAGGGCATGGCGCATTCCAAGAATTTTTCTCAAGAACTTCAAATCAACTTATAGATCTTGACGAGCTGTTAAACGGTTTTTTTGGATTGTGAATCACACGTCTAATGGAGCTGATACAAAAGAGCGTGAAATTGGGCTATTATTTATCTGATTTACTATTATTACGGAACATTGTGAAAATACAATAGTACACAGTACATATAACTAAAGAAGTTCAGTGAAAGGAAACAAGTCAACTAGAGGTTACAAACCGCATCAATTCAAATGATCTCAACCCCTCTCGATTATCTACATATTCGTAGGCACTTTAGAAGCTATACGGCGAGTAAGGTAAATTCAACCCAGACAATCCTTTTGAGGGTCAGAATCTCCGATATTGTGGCAAGCAGTGCCACATATGTACAACCTAACGCTCCAAAATCCATCAAACACTATGGGAAAAACTACGGTGAATGAAAAAATGCTAGCATACAAGCGCCACCTATTTGGAGTGTTCCATACTGATATCGGGCCACAAAGAGATTGAGTGTATGAAGTTTTGAAAAATCGAAGGTATTGAGGCAGCAAGCTTGAAATCAGCGCTTGAATGGCCATCCAACGCTTGCAACGTTGTTGGACTTCCTTTTATACTAGTGTGAATATCCAGTATATGTTGAAATTCAATGCATTTCAGACAGCATACATCCTGAGAATCGAAATCGCTTCTCAGTAGGCCGTTTTACGGTTCAACTTTTGCGACATTCAAGCTTCTAGTCAGATGCTAATGATGGTTAACGGATTTTATTTACTAGCACCCAGTGATTTTGCGCGACAACATTCTCTTGGTCGTTCTGCCGGCGCGTTCAAAGGCTTCTGAATGGGAAAATCATGTTACGACACAGATTCTGAAGAATTTTTTTTCATCTGTTTTATGCGTTAGATAACTGCTTATTTACACGCTAGTGCGCGTGCGAAAGTTACATATACAGAAGTGGCGGGTAAAAACTTTCGCCCAGCGGGACTCGTACTCGGTGTACTCTTAGCTTCTGTGCACTTGTTGCTACCACAACATTGGCCTGGTGGTGTATTGGTAGCATTTATTGTCGGAAAGAAGACCGATATGAGTAAGGCAATCCGGCTGTGAAAGTTTTGCCACACTCAACATTCGGTGCAACTTTATTATATAATTTTTGTTTCCAAAATCGCTTCCTTTTGATCACAAGCGCATGTTGCAATATGCGACAAGCACTTTGACTAGGTTGACTGGAACCGGTCATGGGATTTACGGGAATGACATTTCACTGTAACAAGGTTGTGTGCCACCATAAATCAATATCCAGTTGCATAGGTTATCACTTCCGATGGTTTCTTGAAGGTGAATTTGTCTTGGCGAGCACAATTGATTTGGTAGCGAAGATCCTTCAGAGTAGAGGGTCGGTTGGTTCAAATAAATAGCCAGGAGCGGGGAGGGGACTGATACAGAATGGATTGGCGGTAGAAGATCCATTGACCATGTCGCGGACCGTCGCTTAGGGGAGGGAGGCGATGAGATTTGCCTCTCACGGCCGGATCCTTTCATGCGCCGCAGTGTCAGCCAGCAAACTATTTCTGAACACGGAAAAGTTTCCTCCTTCATAGCAAGTGGGAATGCTTTGCACAAGAGAGGGGACCTTATTCAGCGCATTTCACCGACTTGCACCTTTTGGCGCTTTCAGACCGCAATTCAGTTTTGATTAATGAGCTATCTTGCTCACTAATCATGCTGAACGTTGAATATTTTTCTTGAATCCTCCTTTGCGTATGTTTACCTTCTAAGAATTATTTCTGATATGTTCAGTTGTGTGCATGCGAGAGTTCGCCCGTAAGGGTTTGTCGACACACATGTGGATACTGTAACGATGCGCTATACGACGGAAGAACCACAGCACCGCTCTGTGCTGCCAACGTCATGACAAGCCTTGGACCAAATTATGCTTTTCTACGAAATCGCTCTTATTGAAACTGTGTTATCGGTCATACTTTATCCTTGTATATCTCAATGAGATTTTTTTCCATGTTTTTGTCATTTTCAAATTACGGTAATAAATTTATTGCGCTACCGTAGTGTAGGAGATGTTTCCGTGGGAGAACTATGACTTTGTTTGTGCCAGGTAGATAGTGCTTACTATGGACTGAGGTTTCATTTGCCACGTTCATGACTAGGTAGTGGGAGCTCAGGCTGCGAAGAAACAGTGAAATAGTGTTGTCCGGTATCGAAGATGCTCAAACATCAGATTAAGGGGAGACGTATTCGAGACCGTAGTAACAGGTTTTTGTTTGTTAGCTGCTGTTTTTTTGGCCGCAGTTCGCCCAGCTAATGTTTCATAAGAATGCTGGGTGGTGAACAAAGTACCCAGTAGTAGTAGTGGTAACTGGTGATGCCGGCCGGCCCTGTGCATTGCCGTCGACAAATATATGACGCGGGTCCTCAAATTTGAGGTGATGCCGTAGTATGCAATGAAGATGGTTTGCTAGCAGCTGACCCCAGGCCGAATCTCGGATCAGATCTCGCCCAAACCAACCGGATCTTACATCACTTTCTGTTTCTTTCTGATTTTGGGACCATATTGTACTGTACGTGACTCGCATGCACATCGAGTGTTTGATGCTCATTGTGAATAAGCAATATTGCATCTTTGACGTCACTGCATTCTGTGCGGTGTAAGTTACCTGCATGGCGCTCCCACAAAGGATTGATGAACGTTAATGGTTTTCTGTTTATTATTGCCTCAGTATTGTGCTGTGTTGTAGCTTCATCAGGACTTGAATGTTGTATAATACAAAGAGTTACCAAAATTTAATTCAAAATAGTCCCAGAACCTCACAAAAGCTCCAGTGTATCTCAAAATTCCTAAAAAAAAACAATTCAAAAAGTCCTTATAAAATCGTTTTCTGCCGATACTTTCAGTGCGAAACACCTTCCTCAGGATATTGTAATTAGCCATGACCAATCATAAAGACTAATCATATTGGGAGCTGCGCGTTGGAGTTGAACATAAAATCATGCTTATTTAATAAGGCTTACTTGAAGCAATGGGCAGTGAGCGTTTCTAAGATAGTCACCAGTCCAGATTAGGTACCGAGTAGGCTAGTTTCTCGTCAAGTGAGAAAAGCCAGGTTTCAAGTCAAGAGCGTGACACCGCACGGCTAGACGATAGCGCAAGAAGTTCAATATCCTTCTTTTGACCGCTGCGACCGCTGCAGTTCCTATTGATCGCGACGTACATGGCGTTTGCGCCCTCTCGCCTACGATATACTATATCGCGCTTTCCCTCTTATCTTCGACTCTCCATCATACCACGGCCGGGAAATATCACATGGGAAATTTCGGTGTCTCTGTAGGCTTTTGCTTAAAGCACGAGGTGTGATAGTGGGCTCCCCAAGCACTAAGGACACGACACTATCGTGACCCAAAAGTGCGCGGTAATGGCGCTAAGGCCTTGCTCGCCGCGCTGCCCGCGCTGCCAGCATAATCCACCACAGCATACGTGGTCTCTGCGACTCTCACGTATGACGTACTATCTCGCGTTCTCCTCTCCTCGCAGCGCTGTGTCTCTCCGTCGTACTACGGCCGGCCTCCTAAGGGAAATTTAGTGTTTTCTATGGTGCTTTTTGCTTTTTCTCCTCACTAATGTTCCTCATTGCCCCTTGCCTAATGTTTGAACAAAATAACGCATCAATTCAATCCTGACTCGTGCCTTTAAAGGAATCTTCCACGGACCATGGACCAGTGGGCGGGACCGGAAGTTTTTGTGACGAAATGCATGGTAGGTACGGATCCACGTGTCGAACGCACGAACGTGAACAGGATTCACTTCAAACCTTCCCATGAACGTGGATCCGTACCTACCATGCATTTCGTCGCAAAACCACTTCCGGTCCCGCCCACTGGTCCATGGTCCGTGGAAGATTCCTTTAATCTCTTCCAATTCCAAGTGCATTTCTTACTTAATTGTTCACAAGCAAACACACTAGCATTGATCTGCCACCAGAGCTTCGAAAGATTATTTTTTCAGTGAACATTTCTTCTCAGTTAGTGAGCAACGCAAAAAATTGTTCAGTATGTTATTCACGCATCATTACTTCTTCAGCGTACATGTGCAAAGAACCATTTTACAATAGAACACTAGATACGAACTCAAGGGACAAGAGATAAAAAGTAGACTTAAAGGCACTTCGCACTCAAACTTTAATACACATGATCATCAGTTCGATGGGTGTCCCCCAAGAGGCCCGTCGCGCGGCGAAGAGACGCAGATGCGGCAAAGGACGAGTCGCAGCGCGTGCTGTGCGATATGAGACGTAGTATGGTACACTCTATTTAACCTGACGCCTAACCGCTACAGTATGCGCTGCGACTCGTCCTTTGCCGCGTCTGCGTCTCTTCCTTCGCCGCGCGACGGGCCTCTTGGGGGACACCCAATTCGATTGTAATAAAGCTAAAGATAGGGTGGAAAAACTGGGAAAAAGGAAACGGCAATAACTGACATTTGTAGCAGTGCACTCCCCCTTTCCGGTTGAAAAGGCTCTGGAAGTGAGCGCGCTACGCTCTGTGGATATTCGTACGATACGCCAAATCGAAGAGTGAAGATTTCTGACCACAAAGCTTCTTTTAGACAAATAATTCCGACCCATTTTGTTGGGAAAAACCCTTCCTCCAATTCACGTTCGGGTTTTCCCGATCGGGTGATGACACCATATGGCACTCATTTTTGCCGCATCCGATTTCGCCAGCTTCCACACCACAAGAGTTTATATGCATATGCAACACTATACACTCCTAATTATTTCTGTATAGATAAGGAGATTAACATCTTTCAAACAAAAAATACACAAGCAAAATGAAGAAGAATGTAAAAGTACGAACGAGATGGTCGTATTAATTTTAGATCATAAGGATGAAGAATCGGGAACGAAAGAATGGAGTGCAGTGAATTCATGATTGACCACCGCCGGTTGTCTCTCAGCGCTTCGTCAGTCGAACTCGAAAACCGTTGCAGGGCTTGAGAATTATCTCAGGTACAGCACGATTTCCGGGACTCGGCTCTTCTGTTTCCACATGAAAACGCCGAAATATCCATGACAACACCACTTTTTCTTCGAGTAAGGCGAACTTTTGACCTAAAAAATTCAGGGCATCGTTTTATTCAATAGTGGACTTAAAGGCGGCGAACACGATGACTGAAGGGCGTTGCGATTTGATGACGCCATTGAACTTCATTGGTGGACTGGGGGTGTGGCTGAGACCACCTCCCTTCACCTTTCCGCCAATCACGTCATAATGACGTCAGCAACACCGACCGCCCTCAATCCATCGTGGTCACTCCCTTTAGGAATCTTACACTGCATAGGTAAGGTTCGCAAGCCATAATGTTATTGAACTGCCTCTGTTTCGATACAGGTGAGATCGGAGCAGACGGGACACAGATTCGATATAACGAAAAAATCCCACTATCCGGAAAATTAGCCATAACTGAAGAAATTTCACCGAATATGAGCACTTCCAGAATCGAAATCCTTCTCCAATTTCGTACGAAGGTCCCGTTCTCGGAATATTCCAAGGAGCGGTTTAGGCGGAGTTCATCTTCCCCAAAATATGGCCCCTTCTGCTACCAGAATTTTGAAAGGAAGGATGAAAATAATTGCATAACATGACGACGTACTCGTAGGCCAATTTAAAGGAGGTCGGGATTAGTTGACCAAACCAACCCTTTCGGTCATGCCTGTACTTGGTTACGCACCCGTAGAGATGTTCCCACACTCAAAATCTCAAACGGCGCGGTAATAAGGCCCCAGGGCATGTACTATGCGCTATCGCCGCCTAGCCCCGCTACGACCGCCCACCTCGGGATGTGGTGCGTGGCTGGCATAACGTGTGAAATCAGCTAGGTTGATTGCCGTATCAACCGATAGAACGACTGACATCTCCAGAAAACTTGTTTGTACGTGCCTCTTTCCCAAGCCAGCCTCCTTCACTGCTAGTGGGAAAGAGGGTTTTGTTAACGGCCTTGTCGACGGTTTTTCTCAGTTTTTTCTCCACTGTCGTTCCACTTCGCATCTCTATACTCAGTTTCAATCGCCATAATACCCCCTTATTGAGCCCGACTTTTGCCTTTAAGGTGAAGAATTTTTTAATAGTTTTTAAGACGGAAAATGGACAAACCGATGCAGTTTCGAGGTCCAGCAGAGAATGGAATGTATGAGAAAGGATCTCTGCCGGCCACTTTATCTGCGTCGAAGTGTTCTGGATAGAAGTCTTCAGGGCGTTCCCAGTATCGCGGATCACGAGCAGTTGCTGTAGGTAGCATCACCACAGTAAGCCCTTCGGGTAGTGTTGTGTCACCTGAAGGCCATCGAAATGAAAAACTGTTGCAAAGATACTGAGCGCAAGGAGAAGTGTGATCACCGGATTTCGAGCTTGAGTGAGGGCCGTGCGTAATATGATCTATTACTATGATAGTTACCTTCACACCAAAAGGTTGCCCAAACTCAAACCAATAAGGGGAGGAGGAGCGGGGAACGGCGAACACACCAGACATTGCAATCCCTCTCATAATCTGTGCTACTCCTAGGAATACATAAGCTTTGGAGCATCTGAGTATGGGATAAATTGTAGTCTACCGTCACCCTCACGCGAAATCATTAAGATGCCCTTACATATTGGTCCATCGCTATCCGTTCACCTTTTCTGCAGATCACTGCTCATATGTAAATAGGTGCACCTCAGTGAGAAAGCGCACAGGAACACAAAATGGCTGGTCTCCTTTCTTCCCCCTCCCTCTGTACCCAGAGCCACGTTGGGAAGTGAATTTTTCACGAAGAGTTTTTCGGCATACCAATGACGACATCCTGAGCGAGCTTTCTGGCAAACAGTGGCACTGAAGGGCAGAGCCGAAGTGATTCTTTGATGCATTTCTCAAGGTAGACCAACTGCTTGATATCCTCTGGAGTAGGTAAACGGTCGGATGTACCTGTAAAATAAAAAAAACAATCAAAAATAAAATAATAAAATGAAAATAAGTGTGGAACCAGAGATAACATTGGCAAATCATTTGTTAACCACCTCCCATGAATAAAGAATGAAAAAAGCTTCATGCTCACCAAAACACTGTCGAGTTCTTCGTGAAGCTTCTTTTGGCATTCAGGCGATTGTCCAAGCCACCAAACAGTGAAGCCAATTCCGCTGGAAGTGGTATCATGTCCTGAATGAAACTGTACTTACACTATCCACTTGGATCCTCATGTCATTATGAAAAGTGCGATAGTTGAAAAACTCAGTCTACTCCCACATACCCCCTCCCCTCCCTTCCCCCGCCAGTAAATTCCAAATATCATTCAGCTGCTTACTGAATCGTTTTCTACAAACCTTCCAAACGATAAGGCCAGTTAGGGGGGATAGAGTGTCCTTCTGGATACGCCAATGCGCTGACAACACCTATCCCAAGTTTCCGGCCGCACTTTAGGGAGAGGGGGTCGAAGCTGAAGTAAGTTTTCAGTGAGGTCGATTCGGTACGGTACAAGTTAGGAGACCTCGATTTCAAGTTGTTAGGTAAAATTTTTCAAAAAAGCTGTCACTCCACCTTCGAACATGAATGTGTCGACTTCTTCCCGGATATCCTCGTCACTCAATTGATTGCTGTGTTGCAATCGCAAAAGAAGATCAAGGAAAGCGAGCTTCTGCCGCTTCGAATCTCCTTCATTTCCCTCAATCAGACCGTCTTCCTCCATGGCGCTTTTCCTGTCAGCAATCACCTGAAGACAACGTTAAGGATGAATGGTTCAGCCAGCCACAGAGACGTTTTCCTACCGTTCTGGTGAAATCGTTAGTGAGCTTCACTAGTCTGTCAAACACGAAACCGTTTCCACTCAGATACCAAATCGGCTTCCACCATAACCATGGGAACCTGAACAAAAAAACCTGGCCAATTAAAATAAGAAGTATTGGTTAAAAAAAACTGAGCGATACACTGATGCCTGGTTGACACATTCGAGAGTTGCATCACTCAAATTTGAATGCGGGTCTTCCTATGCAACAGCCGCCGAAACATCAGCGGAAGCGGTTACGATAAAGAGGGAGCGCACCGGGGAAAGATATGTATGCGCCACACAAAGCAGAAGCTTGCTGCAATGGAAGGAGTGTGGCTTCCTTCCCATGTAAAACGACGACCGATGGGCTGGATCCGTTACTGAGCAGTGACGTTTCAAAAAACCCGCCCCGAAATCGATCGCAGCAGGTTAGTTGGCGGTTCTCACTGAACGAAGAGCGCTTGGGGTGTTGCCAGCAGTAGCTACAACAAACTCGGCGGAGGGTATGGGAGGCATGTGTCACAAACGCACTCAAGGTCCAACAGCCGTCCTTAAGCGAGAATCAAGGAATGAACAAGGGGATTTCTTTTCGGTTCTCTCTTGACGAATTCTCTATTTTTTGCCAGTAGAGTCCCATGGAGCACACCTACGTTCCCTTCAACCCCTTCCAGAACCAGTCGAAATCGCTGCCTTCAAAGATAAAGCCGTTTGGAGTCAGTCAGACAAGTCAGCGAGGTTCTACGAAACGAAAAGGCCAGGAAAACTGTGCGCTGAGCCAAGAGAGAGCAGCCTCAGAGACGAAGGAGCGCGAATAATGAGAACCAGACACTGAGGTATTCGCAACTTTGGGACTAACTAGGAAATACAAGGATATGAGTCATTAATTCTTCCCCTCGTTGTAACTCGCGAAATTGCACTACTTTTGCCATTGCAAACTCAGTTCTTCCAGAGAGTGCCTTTTTTCCAGCTGATTCAATCGCGGAGTGTGCTTCCGAGAGTTCGCAAAACAAGGTCTGAGCCAAAACCTATATGATTGCTCGGATGTCCCTTTGCGTAACCTCAAATTGGAAGGCCTCATGAGGCCTGAAAAATGTGTTGTCAACTGACATAAGGGCAAAGGGCTCAAGGAACAGAGCCTTAATCCGGGAGTGGTTGTCCTCATACCGCGCGCTTAACAGTAAAACACCTCGCACCGGATCGAGCCAGCCAAGGAATCCTGGCCACGTGGGAAGTAGTAAGGGTCACGATTTGTAGGAATGACATTGATTTCGTTAAAGAGGTAGGCACAAAACTCAGTTAGAGGTGAAGTTGCCGGGGATGATCTTAAATTGTTCCATATTTTTTGCAAAGTCCCTACGAAATTTAGGGAGTTTTGAATTTCGGTTGTTTCGAGGAGTGTGCCTGCCGCTCGCTCGGCGGCGTTCTTTTATACGGGAGGGAACACTCAAATTTTGGTAAGGTTAGGCAGCTTGACCGTAGAATCTGGGTGAGTCATAGGACCTTAGTTAAAGAGCTGGGCCGCATTTGCTGGAAAATTTCCTCGCGTTCTACTCCTTACTCGTCTGCGGCACCTCAAGGCGAGCTCAATTTCAAAGAGCGATATGCAAGAGAACCCTAATGATCCCTCCTGCAGAGCAAACTTTCGACATTTTTTTTCATTTTCGAAAATTTTCAAAGGTGGTGGTTACGGTATCCGAAGGCATGTTCATTTCCTTGTTCATTTGTTTTTCTATATTATTTATTTGACGCGGCTTGCACTACCGCAAAGCGCAGGGACACAGGGAAAAACTACACGGCGGCGTGATGTCGCCTACTGATTCTGGAAAACATTCAGACACAGAAGAAATCCTTATCAAAGTAAAGTTCTGTACTTGATCCTTGTCTCTGGCTTGATCTTTCTGATTAAGGCTAATAGTAAATCGTCTCGAAAAAGGATGTAGTATCTAGTTGCATTGATTAACCTTCACACAAAGATATTCATTTCGGCAACAAGTCCTACATCCCCCCCCCCCCAATTCAGTCGAAGCCCAGCTGAATATAAACCGTAGCTGAATAATTGTTGGTCAGCATGAAATATGGACTGCAGATGCTGCTGCTTCTATCGAAAACCTTCACAAGAAAAGGATAAAGAAGGATGAAGGACAAACGTTCCGGCGTACTTCCCCTTTTTAGAAGGCGCCACGCATCCACCTAAACCCAAAATCGTTGTGGC